ACCCACATTTCTACTGTGCAAGAATTATTAATGCTATAAAGTCTGACCTTGAGGTTTGAGAGTATTTCAGTCTACTGAATTCTCTTGTTAGAACAGTGATGAATAGGTAAATCATTTGGAAGGGAATGAAGGTTACAGTATCTGGAGAGGGGTGGGGAAAACAGATGGCAGACAGCAAAAATTTTGCTGATCCAGGAGAAGAATAGAATATGTTTAAATAAAGAATAATAGTACTCTGAATGTGTTTTGAGGTTTAAATGTTCTCCCCTTAATAGAAGTTAAAGAAAATATCCCCAACCATTATGATTTTGAACATCTGTCTATGTTTACATTAGGCCTAGTTCAAGATGGAAAATGTCAAAGAAAAGACATATAATAAAGCTAATTATGTTTGCATTTCATTTGCTCCATCATATGTGAGGGGACCCAAAAGCCACACTGATTCTGGTGTTACAAGCCTCTTGCTGTTTGAAGCACAAAACCAGCAAATACAGAGCACTTAGGTTTTTTTTATTCTATAAACACATCAAACAAGGAGGATGTTTTTCTGTGAAGAATGCCCAGTGTGAAAATGCTGAAGGACTGGCAAAACATAGATTTGCTGCAACACAAAAGCACCTTCCAAGATTGTAGATCACAAATTCAACAAAAGAAGCCACAAAAAGTGGAGAATCTTAATTAAGTCCTGGATATGGTCATGTACCACATGACTTAGAGCAGAGGAAAAAGGCTGAAATGAGCTCTTTGATTAAAAATATAAAATTTCAGGGCCAGGGGTTTAGCTCACTGGCACTGTGCCCCTGTCACAAGCACAAGGTCCTGAGTTCAATCCCAGGTACCAGAAAAATATATATATATATAATTTCATTTATCATTTTGAAGTAAATCATAGGAATCTATTAGCTATTCTATTCCATTTTTCAGTATAGTTATTTGATAATTCTTTTTTCATGCTACGGACTGAAGATTTGGGTCCCCTCAATGTTCATTCATTAAAACCTGATCTCAAATGTGAAAGCATTAGAAAGCAGGGCTATTTAAAAGGTTGGTTCATTATGCCAGATTCTTCCTGAGTGGGATTAGTACCCTTAATGTGATGGGGACCAGAATTCTTCCTTTATATCATATAAAGATGCAACAAGAAGACACATTCTCTGAATTAGAAAATAGGCCCTAATCAGACACTGAATCTGCCACTCACTTGATCTCAGACTTCTTAGCCTTTTGAACTTGAAAAAGAAATATATACTGTTCAGAAGTTTCCAAGAAATAAGTTTCTGCTATGATATCAACCCAAAAGGACTAAGTCCAGTGTCTGGTTTTCACATGATTAATTTATTTAATCAATGGCTATGTTTTGGCAACTATAATACAAGTCCTATTCTAGTTGTGGGGAACACAAGTTAATCAGTCAAGCCACTGCACTCGTGTGTCACTCAATCTAGAAGTGGGACAATAATCAAATGGTTAAAAAAAATTTTAAACTAGCAGTGGTAAAAACCATGACCAACTTCATGTAAAAAAGAGCAGATGCAAGATAATTTAGACACGATGCAAAAGTTAGATTTTTTCTGACAAGGTGACTTTAAACCTAAAACCTTTATCATCAAAGGAGACATTCATGTAAAACTCTGGGTGAAGAGTATTCCAAGTAAACCACCATATTAAAAAACTTTGTCTTATCTTCTTTTGGAAATTGCAAAAATTTATCAATAGTTTTAAAATTTTTCTTTGCCCAGCCAGACTTTAAATGGATAGGAAATCTTGTGCCTAGGATTATACACTTGGTAATATATCTTTGTGGTACTTTGGTAAAAAGGATCATTATTATTTAATGTTTTCATCAGTAACATATAAAAGTGACAGACTATGCCAGGAGCCCCTGAAAGAGATCTTACCTCCACGAAATGCTGTTAACTTTATCAACACCAGAGGCTTCAATTGTGACCTTATAACGAAAGGTCTAATGAAAAAATAGGCACAGAATAAAAAAAATCTATACTAGATAGAAGATCACTGGTATTCTAGAGACTGTGTCTTGAAGTGCTTTCTGGATATTTAAAGCAATGGTTTATTTAAGAAATAAAAAGAAAAACAAAAAAATAAATTAATAGATAAAAAACCACACTTAGAACAATTAGAGTTGAGCTCATTTAAATTCTGTTTGATGGGTATTAAATATTTGGGGCTTCATGAATGTGAGAAATCTTTCCATTAAAGGCATTAAGTAGCTAGGATAAATACTATTACTAAATACATTTTTTTTTGCTGTTCTAGACTGGGAGATTAAGGCAGACAACCTATCACTTCAAAAAGCAGGAGGAAACACTTCGTACAACTTAGTAGAAGGTGGCAAAGCCATGGCAGTTACTCCACAAACAAAAATCTATAGACAAAACAGAAAATAAAAAAATCCTCAAAAGTGAAGCATATCCATTAATTTATAAACTGCATTAATATTGCAGGCTAATTGACTTGAAAATAATATGACTTATCAAAGAGCCTGATTTTGCCTAGCAAAACCATAGACATTCCAATTCTACTGTTTACTGAATATTTTTGTGAACTAGGATTTTCAGCTATTGTTGTGTTAAAAATAAAAAGATGAATTGATAATGGGTTAGCTCTTTCTTCCCTCTAGGAGAAGACAAAATAGTGTGAAAGTTAAGACCACACAGATACTAAAGTCAGAAGGATCAAGGTTCTAATCCAGACCCAACATTTTTTAGCATGAAAATATCCTCTGAGCCTTGATTTATTATCTGCTTTAAAGGTAGAATGAGATTAAATAAGGTATGTGAAGTTTTAGCATAGTATCTAGAACATAAGAATTTTTGAAATTGTTGGTCTTATAACACATGCATAAGTAGCACATATAATGTAATCATGCTCACTCTGTACTTAAATAATAGGAACTTCTCATTGAAATTTACTCAGCAGAATATGAATTTTTTCTATCTTTCACAAAGGGGTCATCACTTTTACATGAAAAATAAACATGAGAGATATATAGTCTCTACATTCTGTTTATGTTGACAAAATGAATTTTGAATGGAACAAAATTAATTTATACAAAATTTATGTGTATATATATTTTTTCTGAATAATATTGTTTTCATTAGTTTCTTACAGATATTCATGACTTTTCTCCCCTTGAAAAAGATAAATTTAAACACAATTTTTTCTCTATACCCATGTAAAGGGGCCAAAACGAGAACATTCAGTAATTCCATGAAATGAGATGAGTGGGATGGGGTGGGGTAGGATGGAAAGTGAAAAGACTACAAGAAGTGAGTGAGGAGTGAAGTGCACCAGGGTAGAATTTACAAATTAAAACACATTCTGAGTAAAATGTACATGACAAATAGCAACAGCAAACCACCAGTCTTTCAATTGTTTCTGTAAATGATAGTGATAACCCACTCTTTTTCCATTGGGTTTACTCAAAAGTTAGGAGATGTCCTTGCATAAACAGCCAATTGAAAATTTCAGAACAAGGGAAAAGCTAATCTTTTCTGAGGAGCCGGTATGCTTCTACTCTGCAAAATGTAACATTTCCTACTTTAGAGTCTTAGCTCTTAAGCTCAAAGTTATGTTTTTTATTTATCCTAAGTAACTCCTCCTGAGATTTGACTTTGATATATTTTCTATGCTCCAGTCTTCCCACTTCCTTATGTTGTTTCTGTACTTTGGTCCTTGTTTTAATGGTTGTATTATAACTGTATCCTTTCTAAGGCACCACATATTTCCCTTTAAAAGTAGATGTCATATACATAAAGGGAAGAAAGAAGGGAAGATTTCACAAATATATACACTTTAAGCACATAAAGTCATATAAATTTAACATCCTTAACAGGGAGAAAAATCCTTATTTCATAATTTTTGGAAGCCTGAATTAAAGTATTTACAAAGTATAAGCAAAAAAGGCATATTTTCCCAAGTTTAAATTGTATTGTTTTTGTTCTGATAATTTCTTATTCTAGTTCTCCAAATGCTTTTATACAGTGTGCTTCAAATATTCTCTGGGGTCCAGGGATAGATTCATCCCCCATATCACTTCATCAGCTATGCATATATTTGACCCCTTTTGCCCTAGCAGTGGATTTTTTACAGCCATGTACTGTGTACCCATAGGAGTAATCTGCTCAGAGGGCAGACTGCTACCCTTGCCGCCTCTTTTGACTGACATTAGTTACCTTTACACTGTTTCATTAGAAATTTTGTTTTTTCCAAAAGCAAGAGTTCCACACACCTAATACTGAAAACCTTTATGGAGAATCTCCACTGCCAAAGGGAACTGGCATTAGGATTATTGAAAGCCTCTGATGTGAGCTCCCAAGGGCTTTCTTTTAACATTACTGTTTTACATGCTACTGTTTCCCCCACCTGCCCACATCAGCTCTAGAACACATCAGGAAACTAACAGTTGCATGTTGAGTAACAAGAAAAATAATTTTTAAAAATTATATTAATTTTTGAGTAGTTTCTTATACCTGGAAAGTGGGAAATTTGCATGCATGCTAATCATATGATCATTTTACTTAATGATAACATTTTCTAGTGGTAACATTTCTACACTTCCTTCTTGAAAAATAATTCTATTTTTCAAATGTTTAATGGTGAATGTGTGCTCATAGCTACCTTTCTTGGATTTAGCTAAATGTGCTTAAATATGTATTAAAAATAATTTTAATTGTTACTCAGCTGTCAGTTTGGTTAGGAGTTACAAGATTAAGGAGAAGCTAGTTCACCCACATCATGATTCATCTTGCCTATTCACACTCACATGTGTATTCATACATATATGAATACATACATATGCATGTATATAATACATATAGCCATTTGCTAACCATCAATTTACTCTTATATTTTATAGATGGCATACTGGTAGACAGCCTCAGCCAGGGCAGAGTACTTTCCAGCACTGGTTATCAAGTGTCAGGGACAGAGGTACAATGCCTTCTGCCTCTGGGTTAAACAAAACAGAGTCACATTACCTCTCTGGATCCTTATCACTGTTCTCCAGATGCATAGTCCCAAAATGATGGCCGTCATTAGCCCCCACACAATGACCACCAGCATTCTGATGTTACAGGTGCTGCAGGCAGCCATGGTGAAGTCAAATCACAAATCACTCCTAGAAAATGCAGCCAGCTTTGCTTCTTCTTGAGCCAAGAAATTTAATCAAATTCTGTTCTAAAACATAAAAATAATTCCTCCTTTCAGTGATGTATCAGGAAGGTGTTCTTGTATTTTAGGAGTTTTGAGGTTGATCCAGCAGGACACAGTTCAAATCACCTAATAAAAGGTATGTATTCTGATTGCAATGTCATCATCCTTCACAGAAAGAGAACCTGAAAAAAAAAATGATTGGTGTTAAACGAAAATGAAGGTAAGTTAGGGCAATAAAGAAGGAGGAGGAACTAGCAAAGAGGGTCAAAGGGTGACTATCTGGACAAACAGGGGAGTGAACAAAGGGAACAGAAACAAAGGAACCAAAGAGAAAGTCTGGAAGGCAGTAGATCCTGGTGCCCACCTGCAGCTAAGCTTCCTGCACATTTGTCTTAGGACTATCTAGCAGAGGTAGACCAGCAGGTGTCTCATGCCATGCAAACACCTTCTAGGGGAAATAAAGTATGTTGCCATTGAGAGGATAAACAACAGTAGTCACAAGTGATTCCAGTACTTGCATTCCTTTAAGGATGCTACATTTTGACAGCTGCGGTTGGTGAGTGGGCAATTAGTTCCAAGCAAGCTTTAACAAGTACTAAAGCCTAGTATTACAATCCATCTATTATGGGCTGAATTGTGTTCCCACCAAAATTTGCATGTTGGAGTTTTAACCTCCAGTACTTCACAATGTGACCTTATTTGGAGATAAGTTTGTTATAGAAGTAATTGAGTTAAAATGACATCATTGAGGTGTCCTAAAACAATATGGCTGATATCCTTACAAAAAGAAAACATTTGGAAACAGACCGCATAGAGGAAAGATGACATGAAGCTACACAGGGAGAAGATAGCCATCTATAAGCCACAGTGAGAAACTTAGAACAGGACCTTCCCACAGAGTCTTCAGAAGAAATCAATCCAGCTAACATCCTTTTTTCTGTTTTTTTGAGACAGGGTATCACTCTGCAGTTTAGGCTAGACTTGAACTCACTATGTATCCTAGGTGGGCCTCAAACTCATGTTGATCCTCCTTCCTCAGCCTCCTGACTGCTGGGATTACAGGCATGTGTTACGCTTGGCCTAGCTGACATCTTGATTTTAGACTTGTACAGAGCTCTGAGATAATAAATTCTATTACTCAAACAGTTCAGTTCATAGTACTTTGTTACAGCACCCCAGGGAAGAAAATACTCTGAGTTCCTGCAAGTTGACATCTCTCTGTAGCTATAGCTCTGACTCTTTTGCCTGAAACTTCATGTCCTCCCCTTTCCTCTCCACATCATCAAATGAACAATGAATGAAAGGATAAATGAGAGGTCACTTCCTCAGAGTTCTGTTTCTGGTGAATGAAACAGATACTCTGGATGTTCCCTCAGTCCATGAAATTTGCATTTATTAAGTGTCTTCAGTGTGTCAGAACTATTACAAGATATGGATGGGATCACAAAGAATTCATATTCTCTTAGGGATAAGATACCAAAATATAACTCTCAATAAGACAAATAGTAACTATTAAAATGAAGAATAATACATTTTAATTACAACAATACCAGGCCATTAATTCCTTCAGGAATATTAAACAAGGTTTTACAAAATAAGCTTTACATTTAAGCAGACCTTTGGTTTTTCCCTAAACAAAATTGATGTTTTTCCCAATTCTCTGTAGCACTCATCTTATTAAAATACAACTTTGGGAGATGTGAGCATCAAGCCTAATTTGTTCAACACCAAGTTTAGAAAAATGAAATGGAAAGAATTAGAGATACTGCTGCAGAAGTACAAAACAAATTAATGAGTCTATTGTCTCATATATTATGGATACATTAAAATTATTTTGTTAACAAATGAGAAATTAGAGACATTTATAGCTAAGTGGATGCACATTGAGGCAATACTCTTAAGTGAAATAAATAGGACACACATGTGTAAATGCCAAATAGTTTCTCTGGTGTGATAAACTGAAAGTGTAAATAAGGACTAAATGTATAATAGGTAATGTGAAATAGGAAGAAAAGGGGCAAAGGGGAAGGAAGTGGGAGGGCTAGGGGAAAGGATAGAAGGGAATGGGATTAATATGAGAAAATGGCAAAATAGGAGCAAAATCTTTGTAAATAGGGAGGACTGGAGGGGTTGAAGGGAGGGCTGGACAAGGGTGAAAAACAAGAACCAAGAGAGACTATGTAAAGGTGCAAATTTCCAATGATGAATGTCATTATATTGTATATCTAAAATGTACCAATGATTAGAATGAATAATCGATAATATAAAATAGGAAGAAAAAGTCCAAAGGGGTAGGGGTAGTGGGAGGGGCAGGGGAAAGGAAAGAAGGGAAAGGAAAAAATGATGAGAAATGGAAAAAATAGAAATAAAGTCTTTGTAAATAGGGAAGGGTGGAGGGCGTGAAGGGAGGGCTAGGAATGGGGAAAAAATAAGAACCAAGATGCATTATATAAAGGTACAATTCCCAATGAGAAATGTAATTGTGTTGTATACCTACAATGTACCAATAAAAGAATTTAATACAAAAAAAAAAACTATTTCGTTAACGTCTACATATGTTATCCACTGAAACTACCTGGAAACATACATAAATTGTTTTAAAAAAAAATTTACACTCTTTTCATGGTTTGAAGTTTTCACTTTATACATATTCTAAATACCATAGTAAAATATATTATTTTTCTATTAAACTCAGTGGAAGTGCTCTAACCATTAGATGCTACAATGGCTGTAGCTTCTTAGAGTTTCTATGTCTCAGCCATGTGACTGATTTTATAAGATTTTTCACCTGTCCAGCTAAGCACTAGAAATTCATAGAGTAGAAGAAATTCTTAGGCATAGAGATTCAGATGTTGACATTTATATAAAGACATGAATTACTACTGATTACCAACAAATGGGTAAGTGGTCATCAATATTTACACACACACACACACACACACACACACACACACACCCCAAAATGACAAGGAGGAAGCTGGATGTGGTTGCTCACACCTATAATCCCAGCATTCTAGGAGGCAGAGCCAGGAGGATCACAAGTTGGAGCCCAACCTGAGCCACTTACTGTCTTAGAGAAACAGGATCTCAAAATAACAAAAATAGGGGTTTAGCTTGTGGATTTAATCCCAGTACAGGAAGAAAAAAGACAAGGAATAAAAAGAAAAACTAAACAAACAAAAAAAAGAAATTCATTTACTCACTCTACTCAACACAGTCATTGTGTAGTCATGTGAATAAAATGTTGAACCAGAGAGAAAAGGTTCATGTCCTGACACAGCTTTTACTTAGGAATACCTGGGTTTGCACTGATACTAGTATTATTATTTTGATTTCTTTTTTTTTTTTTTTTGGTACCAGGGATCGAACTTGGGTCCTTACGATTGTGCAGCAGGCAGCGAAACAACTGAGCTAAAATCCCCAGCCCTAGTATTATTATTTAAAAGGCGCAATGACTATCTTTTAGTTCAAGTATTAGAAATAAGAAGTAAATCAATCTCTTCCTCTAAAGCATTTGACTTTGTTGTAGTTTTCAAAACAATTTTCTTTTTTTGGATAAGAAGCTCTTGATATTATTCATGCATTTATCTGATAGCCACTTGCCTTGAAGGATATTGCTTCCTTCAGAATTAACAGCAAGAGAAACCACCAAAAGAGGAAGGGACAACCCACAATGTAAGAAAACGTTTTTACCAGCTGTTCTTCCGACAAAGGTCTATTACATAGAATATATAAAGATCTTAAAAATATCAGACCTCCCAAATTTAAAGACCCAATCCAAAAATGGACATCTGAAAAAGAACACATATTTCTCAGATAAAGAAGTAGAAACAGCAAATAAACATATGAAAAAGTGTTCAACATCACTGGGTCATTTAAGAGACACAAATGAAAACAACACTGAGAGTCCACCTCACCCCAGAAAGAATGGCTGCTATCAAGAAATCAACCAATAACAAATGCTGGTGGGGTTGTGGGGAAAAAAGAACCCTTCTCCACTGTTGGTGGGAGTGTACACTGGTGCAACCACTGTGGAAATCAGTATAGATATCCCTCAAAAAACTAGGATTAGAGGTCCAATTTGACCTAGCTATTCCCCTGCTGGGTATCTTCCCAAAAGAATCATATCACAGTGATATATGTGCACCCATGTTATAGCAGCACAGTTTTTAATTGCTAAAACTTAGAAACAGCCCAATTGCCCATCAACTGGAGACTAGATAAAGAAAACTTTTTTTATAAATGGAGTTCTACTCAGCCATAAAGAATGAGAAACTAGAGACATTTATAGCTAAGTGGATGCACATTGAGGCCATACTCAAGTGAAGTAAACAGGACACACGTGTAAATATTGAATAGTTTCTCTGGCTTAAGAAACTGAAAGTGTAAATAAGGATCAAAATGTATGTGAAATAGGAAGAAAAGGCCCAAAGGGGAAGGGGAAGTGGGAGGAGGGGTAGGGGTAGGAATAAATATGAGAAAAGGAAAAAAATAGAAACAAATTCTTTGTAAATAAGGAGGGGTGGAGGTGTTAAAGAGGAGGGCAGGGGAATGGGGAGAAAAATAGGAACCAAGATACATCATGTAAAGGTACAAATTTCCAATGATGAATTTCATCATATTGTTAACCTAAAGTGCACCAATAAACTTGATGAAAAAAAAAGAGTGAACATGATCTACACCTGAGGAATGTTGTTGTTACAATAAGACTGAATGAAAAAACTTCCCAAATTAATGAAGGCATAAAGGTTTAAATACATAGTCCAGCTAAGTTCCCCAAAGGTTTTGCAATAGAAAATGAATTTTATGACTGGTGATGAAACATGACGAGATTTCTTTATCTCTGACATATATAGGATTATCTTCAGCATACCATTTCCCACCTCAAATAAAATATTAAGCTTAAAACTAATGTTAAAGCATTGGGACCATATTAGTTA